AAAAAAAAAAAAAAGAGAGAGAGAGAGGGAGAGACTGAGCGCAGGCAGGGCCTGGGGGTGTAGGGCGCAGCGATTGCACAGAAAGCCAGTTTCTTTGCGCCGGGAACGCGGCTCATTTCATTAGATCTTTATTTTGCATTATTTTAGTTCGTTTCGGCTTCCTTCTCAAAGGGCGTTTACTTAGGAGAACAGCTCGACTCCAGCTTTCCGGGGGCAATATGAGCCTGACCCCACCGAGCACGCCTGCAAATATGCCCCCCACCCTTTCTCTGGGTTATGAAGGCCCCCCTCTGCGCGCTCGGGAAGGGCCGGAAGACACGCGCGTGCACAGGGAGGGCTTTGCGTGTGTGTACCCCGTGGCACCGGAGGCTATGGTCAGGTTATATCTGCTCACACATGTAAGATCGCACACCCCGCCTGGGCTCCTGGGTCCGAGTTTCCACGCGCGCATGCCTATCCCGGGGGCGAGACTGGCGGTTGAGGCTGGCGGTTGCCCTCATAGGTCATGAGAGAGTGGGGGCCCGCGGGAGCCAGGACGCGGGAACAAGTTGGCTGGCAACGTGTGTATCCGTACGCGGCGGAAACACGTGTGCCAGGGTAGGCCTCTGCCCGGGAGACCCCTACTCCCACCACCCCCAAGTTCAGCTCCGGAGTCTCAGAGGCCTGGGGGCTTCCTGAATCCGGTGTGAATCAGGGGCACGGTTCGGAGAGCCGGGGCTCCGAAGCAGCTCTTCAGTGAGGCCTCCTCAGGCTGCAAGAGGAGGGGCACAGTGGCGAGTCAAAGATCCGGCTGTTTTTTTGCCCCCTCAACCAAGACCACTCTGACCGCCCTTGGCGTCTCAGCCAATCCCGGATCCTCTGGGCACAAGCCCCACCCTCCTGTAGAGCTCCACACACACAACGCTAGGCCACGCCCCTAGACAATTGCATAGGACCCCGCCCCCTCACTCCAAGCCCCGCCCCAGGTAATAAACCCCCAAGTTCCGCCCCTGAGGCCACGCCTCTCCTCCAGCAGTGCCCGCCCCTCTGCGCCCTGCCCCCGGGCAGAAGCCCCGCCCAGTACCTGGTGTAGGGGGGCGGAGGTGCGTCGTGCACCCCAGAGGCTGCCAGCGCCTGCTCGTAGGTGGGGAGACCTGGAGGCGGGGGTGGAAGCGGGGGTGTCGGTGGGCCCAGAGGGCTTAAGGAATCCAGAGGGCTGAGGAGCCCGGACCTGGGGACAGAAAAGATGCAGTTAGCAGGGGAAATTTACAGGAGAGACTTGGAAGAGAGAGAGGACCTAGGAGATAGAGCCTCTGAAGATGGTGGCATGGGGACAGGGGTAGAAGGGAGTTGGAGCCAAGAAAAGACGGATCACCTTCAGCCTAGCCTTACACACACAAAAGCACCTCAAAATGACAGGCAGACACAGGAATCAACAACCACACAGACACTCTCATTCACAGACACACACGTGTACCAGATATAGGCAGAGCAATGGAGAAACAGAGCCCTGCGGACAGGCAGGCAGACACGCACAGAAACAGACAGAATTCAGTCAATCCATACAGACAGGAACACAACCCAGAGGTACTCGAGTCACAATTTGCCCCGATCCACTCTTAGAATTAACTCATCCTAAACTGCGCTCCGCCTGACCCCACTATACTTCCAAGACTGACACTCATATACTCAGATCCTGCCAGTGAGAAAGTCACACCTAGACAACTCATACAGACACAAACACATGCTTCATCCCACAGCCATGGAAACTGACATACCACAGACACCCCTAGACCACAGGCTACACAGTAACCACCTCAGCTGATACAATATCTAGAGTGATCATCTCACAGAAACTTGGTACCACAAAGACAAGTAGTGCCAAGTGTTGACAGAGCACCCACTGCGTACCAGGTACTGAGGATCTAGACAGACAGACATGCCACAACCAGACACAAACGAGCTCACAGACTCTTTCCACATGACTTCCCCCAATCTGGAGCCCACCTTCTTAGGTCGACCCTTACTCCCTCCCCTGCTCTCCACCTCCATCTCCTCCTCCCTGAAGCCCCCTTACTCTTGGGGACAGGGCTGCTGGCCGCGGCGTTGTCGTCGTCGCCAATGCAGATACCAAAAGGCTCCCAGGCCAGCCAGGACAATGAGCAGGATGCCAGATGTCAGTCCCACTGCCAGTCCTGCCACATCCACTCTTCCACGCCCTGTTAGGGGTGGGAAAGAAGCTACCGTCTCAGGAGCTGCCACCCACCCCAACATCAAAGTTCCTTCCACCTGACCAGGTGTGGTGGGTCACACCGTATTCCCAGCACTTTGGGAGGCAGAAGTGAGAGGACTGCCTGAGCCCAGGGGTTCAAGAGCAGCCTGGGCAACTTGGCGAGACCTCATCTCTATAATAAATCAAAAAATTAGCCGGATGTGGTGGTGAGTACCTGTAGTTCCAGCTACTTGGAAGGTTGAGGCAGAAGGCTTGCCTGAGCCCAGCAGGTTGAGCCTGTAATAGCCATGAGCATGCCACTGCACTGCAGCCTAAGCGACAGAGTGAGACTCCAACTCCAAAAACAAAAAAAAATTATTCATCGTGTATCTAAAATTCGCATTTAACTGGGGGAGGGGGGAGATTCCTGTATTTCCTCTGGCAACTCTAGTATGTTAACCCCCCCTTTTTTATAGTTGGAGTCTCACTCTGACCCCCAGGCTGGAGGGCAGTGGCATGCTCACAGCCACCGCAGCCTCGACCTGCTGGGTTCAGGTGATCCTTCTGCCTCAGCCTTCCAAGTAGCTGAACCTACAGGCGTGCGCCACCACATCCTGCTAATTTTTTGGTTTATTGTAGAGATGAAGTCTTGCCATGTTTCTCAGGCTGGTCTCAAACCCGAACTCAGGCAATCCTCTTGCCTCTGCCTCCCAAAGTGCTGGGATTATAGGCGTGAGTCACCGTGCCCAGCACATGTAGCCCCTTTGAGCAACCAGGCCACGGAATGGCAAGGCCTCAACTCTGAAGGAAGAGCAGAATCCACAGGACAGCTTGTGAATTTACCAGAAGGCTAGGAAACATTCACTTAACAGTAGAGGAATTTAGGGACCCCCCCCCACTCCCGCCAAATAACTAGGTGTCTAGAACTCATGCAAATCTGTTGCTAAGGTGCAGCCCCCTTTGGGCAACCCAAGGACTTGTGCCTAAGGACAAGGGGCCCAGGGAGATCTCAGGCTTTGGGATGAGTTGCTACTCTTGCTGACGGGGAAACTTCCTTTGGCCCTGGATAGGCAAGCTCTCCTCAAACCGTGAACCCCAGGCTTTTGAGCCCCCTTAGCAAAAAGCTGCACTGAGAAGGCAGGTCCTCCAGATTCAGACATGTATCAGGTGGAGCGGAGGAACCACTGGGCCTGCTAGGCCTGTGGTGAATGCGTTACCCCCCTTAGCAACCAGGCTCCAATGTGAGGACTCCAGCCCAGACCTGGGGTCCGTTGCTAAGGTGCATCTACCCCTAGCAACCAGGCCACAAGGGGGAGGGGCATCTAGTGCCTGGAGGGTGGTCTTCCAGTGGGCAGGAGGCCTTTGGTCCTGGAGCCTGGCTAGGTGTGGTTGCTAGGGAGAAGGCCTCCTTAGCAACCAGACAGCTGCTGGGATGGGGCTGTGGGGGAGGGGAAGCCATCCAGGTACTGCTTCAGGCTTCCTTGGTCTGGGCTGGCTGGGCCCCGTTGCTAAGGAGCAGCCCCCCTTAGCAACAAGGCTGCCTCCAAGATGGGGCCTTAGAGGAAGAGTTGCTGGGGACAAACTGGGCAGGTGAGGATGGCGAGGCTTCCTCCCTCGTCCCCGATGCTAGGGAGCAGCCTCTCCTCCCCAACCCCCAGCAACCAAACTGCAAGGGACTGGAGCTCTGGACTCAGAAAAAGGCTCAGGTGGGCCTGCCCCTCTGAGCCTAAGGCCTGATAGGGCCCTTCCCTCCACCCACACTTCCCCCTTCCTGGGGACAAGAAACCTCTACCCAATGAGATGTGGTGGGGTTGGGCACTGTGGCCCATGCCTGTAATCCCAGCATTTTGGAAGGCAGAGGTGGGAGGATCACATGAGCCCAATAGTTCAAGACCAGCCCAGACAATATAGCGAGACCCCCATCTCTACAAAAAATGAAAAAATCAACTAGGCATGGTGGTGCATGCCTGTAGTACCAGCTACTCAGGAGGCTGAAGTAGAAGGATCTCCTGAGTCCAGAAGTTAGAGGCTGCAATGAGCCGTGATCATGCCACTGCACTCCAGTCTGGGCGACAGAGTGAGACTCCAACTTAAAAAAAAAAAAAAGTTAAAAATAAATTATCCAGGAGTGGTGTCGCACGCCTGTAATCCCAGCTAATTGGAAGACAGGCAGAAGGATCACCTGAGCCCAGGAATTCGAGACTGTGGTGAGCTGTGATCGCACCACTGCACTCCAGCCTGGATGACAGAGTAAGACCCTGACTCAAAAAACAAAAAATAAAATAAGCCAGGCACAGTGGCTCACACCTGTAATCCCAGCACTTTGGGCGGCAGAGGCCAGAGGCTTGCCTGAGCCCATGGGCTCAAGACCAGCCCAGACAACATGGTGAGACCTCTTCTTTACAATTAAAAAAAAAAAAAAAAAAAATTAGCCAATGTGGTGGCACAAACCTGTAGTTTCAGCGACTTGGAAGGCTAAGGCAGAAAGATCGCCTGAGCCCAGCAGGTTGAGGCTTCAGTGGCTGTGAGTGTGCCACTGCCCTCCAGCCTAGGCGACAGAGTGAGACTTTGACTCAAAATAAATAAATAAATAAATGAAAAATAAAATAAGCTGTGGTGGGTTCCTCGGGGGCTTTAGTCTCAAGGAAGGGGAGTCCTTTAACAGTCATATTCAGGGAGAATAGAATTGGGGGGCCTAATTTGGGGTGGGGGATGTTGGCTTGGTCTCCACGGGAAGAGGTTGCCTTAGCCGCACAAAACAAGAGGGTGTCGACCCCCACTCACCTGCTTTGCCATTGTAGATGTAGGTTTCCCAGAAGTGCTCCTTGGAGGGCCGGAATGGGAGGGAAGCGGGAAAGTGGCAGTTCAGTTGGGAGCTTCACACTCCCCAAACAGCATCCCCTATCAATTTCTCAGACATCAAGGAGGTGGGAGTTGAAGGCCAGGACCCCCACGGCCTGGAGAGACAGAGGCCCCCAGACTCTGCCGGGGTTCCAAGGCCCTCACCGTCAGAGCTTTGTCCTCAAAGACCTCCCTCGCCTCTTCCCAGGAACACCTCTCCTCGTGACACTCCCGTTCCAGGTTCCCTGGTGTGAGCAGCTCCAGGTCCCAGTGATTGGCTCTTGGAATCCGAGGACGGCCACGCAGGAAGCTCTGGGCCTCCGGGAAGCCCAGGAAGACTTCTGGGCCCAAAGACATGAGAGAGAAAAATGCAGGGTTCCTATGGCTGGGGTCTTATGGGGATGGAGCACTGTAGGGTTCTGGGGTGGAGGGGGCTGGGAATCCAGATTCCTGGGGGAGGCGGAGACTAGAAGCAGGTTCCTGCTGGGCGCAGTGGCTCACACTTATAATCCCAGCACTTTGGGAGGCAGAGGTGAGAGGATTGCCTGAGCTCAGGAGTTCGAGACCAGCTTGAGCAACATGGCGAGACCTCGTCTCTACAACAGATTTTTTAAAAAATCAGCTTGGTGTGGTGGCGCATGCCTATGGTTCCAGCTACTTGGAAGGCTGAGGCGAAGGATTGCCTGAACCCAGCAGGTGGAGGCTGCAGTGGCCATGAGTGTGCCACTGCACTCCAGCCTGGGTGACAGAGTGAGACTCCGACTCAAACAAAAAAAGAAGAATTAGGTTTCCTGAGCCAGGGGATGGCAGAGGTCATCTGTCTGGACACAGATGCCGCCCCCAAACACTCACCTTGGTCTTGCTCCCCACTGGGTGAAGTATCCAGGCAGGTGGACAATCCCAGGTATAGCAGCAGCAGAGAGGGGTGGCCCCTCATATTTTGTGGACACCTGGAACCAGGTGTGGCATAGATGGTGATGTCTCAGCCCCGGGGAAGGAGGCAAAGTCTCCCTGATCGGACTCTGGTCCGTGAATGACAGAAAGAGCAGATACCTTCATACCCTGTATTCTGTGCCAGCCACTGTTGACCTATATTGACTCAGTTTGCTTTTCACAGCAGTCCTACTATTATCCCCATTTTATAGATGAGGAAACTGAGACACAGAGAGGTAAAGTAGCCTGCCCAGGCTCATGTAGTTTGCAAGTGTCAGAGCCGGGACTGGAGTGAAGGGAGTGAATCTCCAGAGAGGAGAGCCGGAGCAGGGAGCTTGTCTTTTTTTCCACTGTGTCTGTAGCACCTTACACAGTTTTTGGCACATAGTAGGTGCTCGTAAGCATGTCCACTGGTAATCAAGATTACGTCCTTCCTTGGCAACTTCCACCTACGCCTCTCTCTGTGCTCATTGCCACATCCACCCACAAACAACAAATATTACAGGAGAGGCCGGGGCAGGGTCCACAGACATGAGGGACAGGGGCCCTGGGCTGCTGGACCTAGGGACCCCAAATCCTGGGTCTCAGAGGGGCTGGAAGCCAGGACGCCTGGGTCCCCAAGCCAGGCTCTGCCTCCAGGGACATTCACTTACCTGCCTGCCCAGGCCTGTGAGCACTGCCCTCTCCTCTTTAATCGGGCCTCCCCGGCCAGCTGCAGCCAGCTGTGAAGGGGGGCAGGGAAGAGGGGAGGGGAGAGGGAGGAGGAGTGCCCCACTCCTTGAAACCAGGCCCGATCCCGGTTTCTGGCTGAGGGGCGGGGCTTGCGATTACCTGCCCTGGGCGGGACTCAGGTAAGGGACAAAGTATTTAAAGGGACATTAGAAAAAAGGGCTTAAAGGCCAGAGCCCCAGAGGGAAGCCAGGTTCTCTGGCACCGTGGGGCCCTTAGGGGATTGGATTTCGGCCTCCTCCTTCCTCACGCCCCCTACACGGTCCGTCTTTCCCCCGGGAACTCGCTTGGCCGAGCTAGGGAAATAAAAGTCTGGGTCTCTTAAATGTCTAGAAACTGGCGGGAATAGTATGCCTTAGACTCTGGGATAGCTGGACAGTGCCCTAGTAAACCTCTGTCTCCTGAGGGTGACTTGAACAGCTTTGACTTCCAATTTCTCAACTGCTCTGTCTGTAAAATGGGAACAGAGTTGCGCCTTCTCAATTGCCTGTTAAGATTCAGCAAGAAAAGCGGATGATATATTGGGGAAGTAGGCTTTTCAATCTCTGGAGGAAGCGGTTATTCCTTAAACTCGGACTTGGAGAGACTCAACGCCTGGGAATCAAGCGGGAAACCGACGGCCCTAGGAAATGCCTCGTACATAGTGAGCGTTCCCCATAGTCATGCCAGTTTCAATAACCGGAACCTTCGAGTTGACATTCGCGTTTCCGGAGGGAGAAAGAGAAGAAGAGAGGACTTACCGAGCCAGGAGAGGCACCTCCGCAGCTAGGGGCAGCTGTGCTTCCGGTATCTTCTGCCGGGCGGAAGTAAGCGGAGCGGAGGAGGAAAACAGTGCTCCTTTCCGGTGTTCGGACACAGTTGAAGAAGAGACCAGGGAAGGGGGAGTCGTTTGTGAGGTGAGTTCCAGACGCTGGAGGAATGGTGTTGCAGGGATCGCTTTCCCGCGAGCTGGAGGTCTGGGCGCCTGAGGGAGACGGGAGCAAGGATCCGGGTTCTCGACTCTCTGTCAGTCATCAACGGAGCTCTCGGGGCGCCCCGAGTTTGAAGCCGAACTACATCTCCCAGCATCCCCTGGAGGGGCAGCCGTCCGTC